CATGAAAGGGTTTCACAGCTTGACACAATACCCACAAATCAATTTTAACATGTCTATTTCTATTGTTTGTTTTTATATTAATTTAATTATTTATGCCTATCAGATGAAACTACTGGTATATTACATAATGTGGATAATTCTGCCAGAGATGACAATATTAACAATGATGAAGGTACTTTGAAGGTATCATGGTTATGAAATCAACCCCTTTCTATCATGGTTATGAAATCAAACTCTTCTTATGGTTATGAAATCAACCCATTCCTATCATGGTTATGAAATGTATCATGGTTATGAAATCGACCTATTTCTATCATGGTTATGAAATCGACCTATTTCTATCATGGTTATGAAATCGATCTATTTCTATCTGGTTATGAAATCAACCCCTTCCTATCTGGTTATGAAATCAACCCCTTTCCTATCATGGTTATGAAATCAAGCCGTTCATATCATGGTTATGAAATCAACCCCTTTCTATCATGGTTATGAAATCAATCCGTTCATATCATGGTTATGAAATCAACCCCTTTCTATCATGGTTATGAAATCAACCCATTTCTATCATGGTTATGAGATGTATCATGGTTATGAAATCAACCCATTCCTATCATGGTTATGAAATCAACCCATTTCTATCATTGTTATGAGATGTATCATGGTTATGAAATCAACCCATTCCTATCATGGTTCTGAAATCAACCCATGCCTACATGTATCATGGCTATGAAATCAAACCCTTCTTATCATGGTTATGAAATCAACCCCTTCTTATCATGGTTATGAAATCAACCCCTTTCTATCATGGTTATGAAATCGACCTATTTCTATCATTGTTATAAAATCGACCTATTTCTATCATTGTTATGAAATCAACCCCTTCCTTCCATGGCTATGAAATTAACCCATTCATATCATGGTTATGAAATCAACCCCTTTCTATCATGGTTATGAAATCAACCCCTTCCTATCATGGTTATGAAATCAACCCCTTCCTATCATGGTTATGAAATCAACCCATGCCTATCATGGTTATAAAATCAACCCATGCCTATCATGATTATGAAATCAACCCATGCCTATCATGGTTATGAAATCAACCCCTTCCTATCATGGTTATGAAATCAACCCATGCCTATCATGGTTATGAAATCAACCCATGCCTATCATGGTTATGAAATCAACCCATGCCTATCATGGTTATGAAATCAACCCATGCCTATCATGGTTATGAAATCAACCCATGCCTATCATGGTTATGAAATCAACCCATGCCTATCATGGTTATGAAATCAACCCATGCCTATCATGGTTCTGAAATCAACCCCTTTCTATCATGGTTCTGAAATCAACCCATTCCTATCATGGTTATGAAATCAACCCATTTTTATCATGGTTATGAGATGTATCATGGTTCTGAAATTAACCCATGCCTATCATGGTTATGAAATCAACCCATGCCTATCATGGTTATGAAATCAAACCCTTCTTATCATGGTTATGAAATCAAACCCTTCTTATCATGGTTATGAAATCAATCCCTTTCTATCATTGTTATGAAATTGACCCCTTCCTATCATGGCTATGAAATTAACCCGTTCATATCATGGTTATGAAATCAACCCCTTCCTATCATGGTTATGAAATCAACTCATTCCTATCATGGTTATGAAATCAACCCATTCCTATCATGGTTATGAAATCAACCTATTCCTATCATGGTTATGAAATCAACCCATGCCTATCATGGTTATGAAATCAATGCATTCCTATCATGGTTATGAAATCAATGCATTCCTGTCATTGTTTTGACACCAGTATCTATTTATCAACATACCGACCAGAGAAACCAAAGCTAGTGTATTGACCATCAATAGTATGATTCTCTTAGCAATACTGATCCATTCATTCATTCCATCTCAGTTTCTATTTACTTCTGTCTCTTTGAATTTTCAGGTTTATATTTTTTTTTGATAATTCTTGATCTGTCTTGACATCTTAATCTTCCTTTTTTTGATTTCAGTTCATTGCTAAATACATCAACAAAATCACATTCATTCACCTACTTATATATGTTGTTGGTTTATTGGGTGTTTGAATCATGCATGCCTCTATTATTATTATTATTATTATTGTTATTATTGCCATATATTGGTTTGTAATGAAATTCATTATCTGATTTACCTGTTGTACATGTTGATATGTAATTTGTTCGCATGCTTTGTAAATAATGCATGTGTGAAGTCTGCTGTAAACCGCTTTAATTCTGTGTGAGACCAATTTTGAAATCTTAAAATTTTTTTCCTAGAACACAGTGTAAGTGACTTTCACAAAATGTTTCCTAAATGAATGCCATGAAATTGAGAAAATTTCCAGCAGTGAAAATTACACGGTTTACAGTATTTATTGCTTTCATACCATAATGTATTGTGGTGAACTGCCTGTACTAACACTGGGATTTATACAAATGTATTTTAGATCCACGGCGTATTGCTAAACTAAGAGAAGAACTCAAGCATACTTTGGAACAGTATTTAGAGAGAAGGGGTATAGCAAGAGTAAGTTGAACTGAGCTGAGGTTTTGACTTTAGATCACTTGATCATTGTATCAGTTTTAGATATTGACATGCTAATATTTAGTTATATTATTGCATTTTACTGTTTGACATCCAGATGTTGTATTATTCACAACTTGATTCAACCACTCTCTCTGGTACGGGTTGCTACAATATTGCAACATTGGTTTTATTGCCGACAACACTAAAGCCGAACAAGTGCGATACTTATTTGTTTGAATCGTTTCTAAGGAAGCACTAACCAAACAGCTGGCCCTTTTCTGGGCCACAACATATTTAAAAAAGAGAACTACCGTTTCTGCTTTAATATACATTAACAAAAAAAAATTGTTATTACAAGTGTAGAGAAAGACCCCCTGGGCGTATCCTCAAACATGACCTCAATTTCAATTGCCCAGAATGATGTATGACTCAAAGAATATTGCCATCAATATTCTAATTTAGGTATAAATTAAGAATGAAATAAAAAAAATACTCAGTAATTTTAATGTCATTATATGCATTGGTTAATTTTGTTGGTAAATGAAAATATAGAAGTTTCAAATAAAAATAAACATAAACACATTAGTAGCAAATGATCATATGAATGTAAACCAGTTTCACTATTTCACAGGGAAATAATTTATTTGAGTTGTTACATATGTTGATTTTTCCTCAGTGGTGGTTATAATAGGCTACAATTAATCAGTTCTCATGTGACCTAATAGGTCATGGCGGCTGTTAATCAGTCATAATGCTGGGTGGTGCCAGCCAAACTAATTTCTGAATATAATAGCTTTGAATGGTGAATGTGACACATCTTTTGGCATTGATTTTGCTGAAAAAACAACATGATTGTTTTAATAAGAAAAATTAGGATTTTCAAGAGATAAACTGATCATAGAAGAAGTTTTTATATATATTTTCATTAATAAATTGAAAACTTTTTTGCTACCAAAAGATTGCCCACCTGCTGAAACATCACCCATGCGCAAGGGCTAGGAAGGTCGGTGTCTTGAACAAATCGAAGATGGAGATGTGCTTCAAAGAGACTAATTGTGACATTTGCCTAAATGTGATGGTCATGTCTAAACCTGTTTATTTCATGTGTCTTCATTCATCAGGCTTGTAAAGGCATCTCTACCACTACTTTTCACAACAAGGCAACTGAATTGGAACAGGAGAGACAGCAACTTGCCCTGAAACACAAGACATTTCAGGAAGTAAGAGAGCAGTGTAGAAAAGAGTTAAATCATAGAACTAAAGAAAAACTAAGAGAAGCTCAGAAGTCACCTTCTGCTTCTACAGGTATGTTTAAAATTGGGGGAGGGGCATGTTGTTGATGTTATTTTGCTTCTTTATTTTTATTTTGGTCTTACTCTGTCCAGGCCTTCAAACAATATATGGTAAATGGAGGTTTTGAATGAGATAACATACAAAAGTACATGTATTCTTTATTCATAAATGTCATAACTCCTGTTCTGCAACTCTATGGATCTCTGCGAGTTTGGTTTACTTAATTCCCATATGCGACTATGGATCAGTGTCAGTTTGGTTTACTTAATTCCCAAATGCGAATCTATGGATCAGTGTCAGTTTGGTTTACTCAACTCCCATATGCAACTATGGATCAGTGTCAGTTCGGTTTACTTAATTCCCAAATGCGATTCTATGGATCAGTGTCAGTTCGGTTTACTTAATTCCCAAATGCGAATCTATGGATCAGTGTCAGTTTGGTTTACTCAACTCCCAAATGCGAATCTATGGATCAGTGTCAGTTTGGTTTACTCAACTCCCATATGCAACTATGGATCAGTGTCAGTTTGGTTTACTTAATTCCCAAATGCGAATCTATGGATCAGTGTCAGTTTGATTTACTCAACTCCCAAATGCGAATCTATGGATCAGTGTCAGTTTGGTTTACTCAACTCCCATATGCAACTATGGATCAGTGTCAGTTTGGTTTACTCAACTCCCAAATGCGAATCTAATGGATCAGTGTCAGTTTGGTTTACTTAACTCACAAATGCGACTCTATGGATCAGTGTCAGTTTGGTTTACTCAACTCCCATATACAACTAAGGATCAGTGTCAGTTTGGTTTACTCAACTCCCATATGCGACTCTATGGATCAGTGTCAGTTTGGTTTACTCAACTCCCAAATGCGACTCTATGGATCAGTGTCAGTTTGGTTTACTTAACTCCCAAATGCGAATCTAAGGATCAGTGTCAGTTTGGTTTACTCAACTCCCATATGCAACTATGGATCAGTGTCAGTTTGGTTTACTCAACTCCCAAATGCGAATCTATGGATCAGTGTCAGTTTGGTTTACTCAACTCCCATATGCAACTATGGATCAGTGTCAGTTTGGTTTACTTAACTCTCATATGCAAATCTATGGATCAGTGTCAGTTTGGTTTACTCAACTCCCATATGCAACTATGGATCAGTGTCAGTTTGGTTTACTTAAGGTAGCGAGAAGGTTTTGTGACGTTTTTAAATAAAACACTCTCTGTCTGTTGTCTCGTTCAGAACAGTAATTTAGGTTATATATATCAAAAGACTAAGTATAGAGGTGCAAGTTCGCACAAACTGGACAGACATTGTTTACATAATTATCACGTGACATCAAAAATGGCGAACCTTGTAAAAATGACTAAGTACGCGATTGCGAGAGCACACTGCGAAATTTCCTGGTGAAATTTAAGTTATGCATTGTCCGTAATCAAGTCCATTGAAATGCGTCTCCGATAATCAAAAGACCTATTATTCCGATTTCTATGCAGGTTTGTTTTTTTGTCCCCAAATTATTTCATACTTGGCACCTTTAACAGACTATTATTCTGTGACAAAGCATTTTCTTTAAAAACCCAGACATATTTCGCACCATCATTATCTTT